GTACAATCAACATATAAACTCTCTCTTTTTAATTGTTGAATTGTTAAATAAAAGTATACACTTATTAATGGCTGGTTGTAGAATTGCACAGCCCATATTAACTCATATTGGAACTTGTTAGATATTTTTCTGATCTTCTCCAGTTCATTTATTTAAAATTGTGAAGAAACGTGTCACATACAGCCCTACATTTGCAACAATATTATACCAGCCATAATAGACCTTTTCACAGCAGTCACTTTGATATTAAATAGTTGGGTAAACAGAGACATTACAAGTGATACTAATTAAGATTATGTTCCATTCAGGTCAAACAGAGTCAGGGTGCTGCTGTTGTGCATATTTGCTCACTGGAAGGTTAATAGAACAGAACCTTAATTAGTATCATTAAAAAAAAAAAAATTTACCCTGCTATTTCATTTCAAAACAGCTGCTGTGAAAAAAGTCTTTACACCAGGGGGCACTCTCATCAGTTTAATGTGGACATTCCTCCTATGTCAGAAAAAGGGATAGGTATATGAGAATGTGAGAACTTACCTAAACTCTGGTGGGTACTGTTCAACCATCCAGGCAATATCAAAGCAGTAGTTAAACTGTGAAGACAGACAGTATAGCAGTATTAATGGCTGACATTACCCCAAACCTAGCAGAAAGATGTAAACAAGACTCTATAGCCATGCTAACAGTTAGCTGGTAGCTGCACTTAGTCATAGTTGCACTAAATGCTAATGTCACAATGACAATGCTCACATGCTGAGGTTTAGTAGGTAACATGCTTACTATGTTCCCAATCTTAATACTCTCATTAATTATGTATTTTGTTTTAAACACCAAATGTAATCCCTCGTCTGCTGAAATGTTTCCTCCTGAGGGGAACATGAATTTTGAATTTTTCTCCACAGTTTATATGGTTACCCACCTGAACAGATTCTTTCAGGGTCCCAAATAATGGAGAGAGAATGTCTAGATGAAAGAAGCAAATATTAGTAGACAGAATGTATAAAAGACGAGAGGTGGTCTGTACTCCGCTGATTTCAGCAGGGAGATCCACAGTAAGGACAAGGCACTGGGCTCATGGGGGATTAAAACCAGGACTATGAGGACCACCTATGAGATCACTCTGCTGCTCTTTCATAAAGTTACATAACAAAAAAGTGAAAACAGACTGACTTGATGAAGAGTCAAATTCTAACTTCTTCTCTTCTAATTCTCTCTCATTCGACAAAAACAAGTAAAGTTAAGATATTCAGCTTCCAGGCATCCAGTGAGCATTTTCAGCTCTTATTCACTTTGACTCTGTCCCACAAACTCAGACTGGAAGCTTCCCAATACAACCAGCTGGCCACTGAATAACTCCACTGGAGCAAAGAAGTGCCTGAAGGAAATTTGGAATTTAAAACAATTTGAGTGATGTCAGATGCTGAAATGCTCAGTTTAGACTTCCCATGCTACAGAATTGCCATTTTATTTCCTCAAACGCAGGACGAAACTGCCGGCACCAAATCTAATTCAATTCAACTCTCCTCACCTCTGATGTGCAGAGCTCCACTGTTGTACTTCCTGTCCACGCCTGTGACTTTGTTGAGGTAAAACCTGTAGGTGTCATTTAGACAAGGAACACTGGATTCAAAGAAGTCCTCTGGCTCGTCGATGTAGTAGAGTCGGCCGTGGGGACTCGGAGGGCGCTCGTTCTCCACCTTCACTTTCTTTGCTTTGGGGCTTGGAGGCGGCGCCCTCTTTGGTAGGTTACTGAGACCCTTCCCCTTCACATCTCCATCATCATCATCATCATCACTGTCTGAGAGAGCCCACCCTGAGCCATCTGACACCTCTTTCTTCCGCTTTCCAGCCAGTGACGGACTGGTTTCGTACTTCACCGGATTTATCTGGTTCTTTGCCGCAGACTGTCTGGCTTCAGAGCCGACAACCAGTGAGGATACAGGGGTGTTTGCTGGTTCTGGTTTCACCTCCGCTGTGGCTTTCACTGGTTCCAGTTTGGGGCTGGGGGGAGAGGCAGACCATTGGGAACTGGGATTGGATACAGTGGGTTGGTGGGGCTTAGATGTTGTAGTCCCGGATAGAGGAATACCCTCATCGTCATCATCATCATCACTGCTGGAGATGGTCCATTTGCCATGTTGACTGTCCTGAGACATGCCTGACCAGAGACACAGAGACACAGTAACCACAACTTGATATAGCTAACAGACACCCCACCTGCTTGCTATGAGTTTTATACCAAATATATCAACTGACATCCATAAACTTTAAGGACAGACGGCTTTGTGCTGAATGAATTACTGTTTATGATAGGAACCTAAAAGACTGATTTACTTGTAAACAGCAGCGGATGTGTGCAGCTGGAAAACCACGACTAGCAGTATCTGGGTGCATATTTAATGCATCGAGGCTATTTAAAATGGTGTTATATTTATTGCATAGTGCAAATTCAATGACACAAGAACTTACAAGGTCTAATTATAAACTGTGTAAACATCTATTAACAACATGGGTACATGCACAATAAGGACAAAAACAAATAGTTCAATGTATGCAAAAGCTGAAAATATAAGCAATAACATATATTCTATACTTAAGATCAACATATCAAATTCAGATGCCAGAGTAATACAAGCCAAACAGATCCTGTGATGGTAAGATGATAGTATTATACTGTGGAGAACAATGGATCGGCCGAGCGCCATATTTGAGTTACCGAGTCAGATAAGTGAGCAGCGGCACAGGTTGACGATGTTTACGCTGAGACTCTTATCAATCCACCGCTAAACAAACTTCACTACAATACATCTCCATCAAGAAAACCACAGCGCAGGAGGTGCGCATGGAACACGTGTCCGGGTAGGAACTCCCTTTCCTGTGTTTTCGTGTAGTTCCGCCACAATAACGACGAGATCTAAAGACAAGGCAAGCATTACGCTCATTAAAGAGCAGGTTAAACACACTGACAGTATATATAAGGGTTTAGCCACTGACTGTATATATATATACAGTCAGTACACATACATGTACAACATAAGAGTTGGTACACAAACATGAACAATAACGTGTTGCAGAGTCGTTGATTTATTATATTATATTATATTTAGTCTTTGTTTATGTTTGTTTTTTCTTTGTATTTCATTTTTAGTTTTTGTTATATATATATATATATATTAAATATGTTTATGTTTATATTTTGTTTGTTTATGAAGTTTGTTACTTAATTATTTTGTGTATATAATATTGTGATAGATCAGAGGGTGGGGGGGGACACACACATAGCACTCAAGAATGTGGACCTCCTGATTCAATATGGACCAGAGTGGCAGATAATAACTAAGTGCTTGCAAACGTAATTATTTTATATCCAAGCAGACCGTCTTTATTCAGCTGTGCATCAGAAAATGCTCAGAATAGCTACTGCTTTTAATGATTTTACCATCAGGTAAAGACAGGTGGGTGCCCTTGGAGGCAGCTGCCTGAGAGCCCAGTCGTTTTTATTACTACTGATATGTCATTATAATAATTATTGAAGTCATAAGCCATAGGTGTCACCCCTACCCCATTAAGCCCGAACAGACTTCAATTATATTACAACCTTGCCACTTGACTTTGAATGTATTTTCTCTGCCATTGCAATGCTTGCCTCTGTGGAAGTTGTTTAAAAAAAGCTTCATTATTGCACATTTGCTCCAATGCCAACAGCAACAGCAACTACCGACCATGCTGGTGCCATATGATGGTCATCACATGCAAGGACGATGCAGTGCAGAAGGATTGTTTTATTTATTTTTTTGTTTTTTGTAATTATTGTTTTACTCCCACACGGTTGGTGGAAGTGTTACACCAATAAGTTGTTGGTTAGCAGTCATAAAAAACAAAATAAGAATATCTTGTTTCATTGGATACAAAACAGTAGAAATTGTGATTTTCAAGGTTAAGATTGGGGCACTGTGCACTAAACAAAACTCTGTAAATGGTAGGGAAACATCAGACAGGCTTATGTGAGGGATGCCAGCAAGAAGAGTCAGTGGAGCATATAGTTTTGAGTTGTAGGAGGTGTGGGACAGAGAGAGAGAGAGAGAGATGATGAGGGGAAAAATAAAGGAATTAAGGGTGCAGGAATTCACATTAAAAGGATTTCTGGGCATGGGTGAGAGAGCACTGGTTAGGATATCGCTGGCCCTTTTTAACGTCCACATTTAGGAGGATCTGTTGTCAGACATGGAATATAATATTTGGATAAGATAAGACAGACTTTACTGATCCCACACTGGGGAAATTCACTCACTATAGCAGCTCCAAATATAACACAACCGATAAGAAAATATACATTAAATAAAAATAGAATAGAAAAATACAAGATAATGAAAATAGAATAAGAGTTGCATGTACACTATATACAGCTCTTTACACAGAAGGGATTGATATGGAATATCGCACAGGTTACAGCAGGAGGTAGTGGCATGGTATACAAATAAATAATTGCACTGGACATAAAGTATATATAAGGCAGTATAGATTGGTAAACATATATGAATATACAGTACAGGTCTAATATTTGTGTTTAGGAAATTATATAATTATAAATATATGTATGTGAAACTGTACAGTACTAGTAGTGCAAATAGTATATTAAATAGTGTTGACAGAGACAGACAGTGCTACATTATGTGGTTGCTAAGTTAAATAGTCTGACAGCTGTATATATATCAATATTAATATATAGTAATATTCATATGTATGTTTTCTTTTGTATATAATGACCTAAATGTCACTAAATCCTACACACAGAGGAGTATTCATTATTCATTATTCATTATTCATAAACAGGAATAGCTGATGGTGCTGATATGCACACACACACACACACACACACACACACACACACACACACACACACACACACACACACACACACACACACACACACTCCGGAGCAGAAGGTGGCGGTAGTGCACCAATAGGCTGGATCCCTGCCGCAGTCCCACCAGAAGAAGAAGATCTTGTTCGTCCAGTCGTGCAGAGTGTGCTCTCGAGCCGTGCCGCTTTGGGGTACTTGTTGTGGAGAGTCGTCTTGGCTGTCTGCTGTTGTGTGTCTATTAAATAGTGAGAAGACTTTCGCAGTATGGCGTTAAACCTCACCATCAACACAAGCAATCCTCCCTTAGGTGAGTGAGAGCCTGAATAAACACTTCTTCAGAGAGTGTGCATGCTCTGACTGTAGAGGACTAGAAGTTAGCTTCCGTTACGTGTCATCCTGTTAAATGAAACAAACTCAGACTGTAAACTCCTCCTTTGATGTTTGCTTGTATAATCACATACAGATAGCAGAGCCAGGAAACCTGCAGACACTGGACCAGTTCAACATTTCATAGTTGATACATTTTTGAGGCGATATTAAAAGTAAAAGTTGCATTAATTGTTGAATAATGTGCAGTTAGTTGAATTAAATAGCGGATCTTTCTAACTCGAAATATGGGAATAGACACGAAGAAACGATTGCGAAGTGGTTTATTTAGCAAAGAAGCTCTGTAACTTGAGCTAACGTTATATATGAATTAAAATTGGTGTGACTGTGTGGCCATATAAGTTAAAATGGGCGTGTTTCAGTTTGCTAACGTTACTAGCACACTAGCATGAGGATAGCTAGGTAGCACTAGCTCTAACAAGCTAGCGATGTGTTGCAGTCGTGGCAGACAAACCAAACCACAACATGTGCACACAGGCTACCTCACACTTTACTCTTCCACTCAGCCTTGATTGTGGACTGCCTATAAACATTGTTTACATGTATCCATACACTCTTTATGAACTTAGAAACGACACACGGACAAATGATGACATTACATCATGACCAGTACAGGCTGACATTAGCTAGCTAACCCCGGTTAGCTCAGCTGGGTGCTTTGTGTTTAGACGTATGCTATGTTAAATGTTGTTAGACTGTATCTACAACGCATTTTATTCATATGTCACCATTCATTACACAAAGAACAGGGGTTTTTCCCGGTGGTTAGTGTCAATACTTTGTACCAAGATAAGCTAATGTGTAGCTTTCGGTAAACGGCGTCATAGACGGTAGCAGGCTGACGCAAGCGGCTGCAACGTGGACTGTTGGATGGACACTGATGGTTGCACTCTTGATTTCTGTTTCATTTGCTGAGAACCAGCAGTCCTCCTGGGAAGAGGGGTTAAAGGCAGCCTGTTGTTTTGGTGCACACAACTACCAGGACTAATAAAAGTAAAACTATATATTTTGTTAAACCTATATGGTCGACTGTTAACTGTCAGGAAAGCTGAGAGAATGAGGAACAAGATCTCTGTGATCTCTTTGACAAACATTAGCCTACATCAGGTGAACATCAAAACTCAGAGTATTAGTCTTTTAGAAAATTATATTTAGCTTTTTATTTTTTTATCATCTGTTTAAACTTTTAAAAGTTAAGATTATATGTTGAGCAGATAAACATACAACACTGCTGTGTGCGTTTTTCATAACAGGACCAGTTCAACGGGTTCTCTAACCTAAATGTCTGAAGTGAATCCGGTTGCCCTTGACTTACTCTAGCACTTTCTCTGACTGAAGCCAGTTTAGGTTGTTAAGCCATGTTTACCCAGACTCATAACAAAACCCTAACAAACACTGAAATCATGTCTTCCGTCCTGCAGGGGCGCTTCTGGCTGCAGAGCATGTGAAGAGCAGCGTGCAGGTATCAGTGGAGGAAGGCAAAGACACCCGGCTTCAAGTCTCAGAGTAAGTGACATAATTATTATGTGAAGTTTGTGTATTTTGTTGTTTCAGTGCAATGATACTCAACTTAAGACCCAGGGCCAAATCTGGCTCGCAGTAGGGTACTGGGTGGTCTTGGGAGCATTTTCTGATTCACAATAAAAATAATTGGTTTGTTTGTTTGTTTGTTAGTAAATAAATATTCAATTATGTCCCATCATTAGCCTGTCAGTGTTCTGTATAGTGTGCAGTAGCGGTGATGCTTGGTTTGCTGTGACTGGATTTGCCAGTCACAGATGAGTGAGGACTGCAAACGTTGGAAGGTTGGCAATGAAAACAGTCATTTCAATGAAAAATGGACAAATTAATTTGCCTTTATTTTTTGCCACCTCATATCAGTCATAAACCACAATATAATTTGTCAGTTGCTGTATGCAAGGTTGCTGATATCAGACATCATCTTGAGCCAAAACAACTCACTCTAGCTTCAGTGCAGCGGTCCAGCCTGGTAGTACCAGAAGAAAAGAGAAGATTATGACTTCTGTCGCGTTGACGTACATTAACATAATGTTTATTCATTTTATCTGATAAAATATTATTAATGTTTGGTTATTAACTTGGCCCCTGGCCTTCTGTCATTTTTGTGGCACCCAGGCTAAGCAAGTTGAGTACCCCTGCTTATTACTCATTTATCTCAACTCTACATTCTCTTTCGTTTCCTAAGTGCAATCCAGTTCAATGATACCAACTCTATCAGCCGGTACTTGGCTCGGGTGGCTCCCGCTCTTGGCCTCTACGGAGCCAACATGATGGAGCAGACTGAGGTGCGTACCTTTATTTGTGTGTGTGATATGCCTTGTAATCGTTTCGATATTTGAGATGGTGTTGTGCTATCTGCAGGTCGACCACTGGTTGGAGTTCAGTGCTCGGCGTCTGTGTGGTCAGCCTGGTTTGGCTGTGGCACTGGGTGAACTGGATAAGGCCCTTTCCCTGCGGACCTTCCTGGTCGGACATGCCATCACCCTGGCTGACCTTTCTGTCTGGGCTGCCCTCAAAGGTCATGGGGAATGGCCCAGCCAGGGCAAATCCTTCTCCCATGTCAGCCGCTGGTTCTATTTCCTGAGCTCACAGGTTCCCTTCAGTGCTGTGGGCAACAAGTATGCTGTAAAGAAAGCTCCAATGAGCAAATCCAATGTAAGTTCAATTTCAGAAACTGATGTGATCTTATTTTTATAACATCTGGAGTCTTGAGATTAATTGGTGGATTATTGTGTTTGTGATCACTTTATTGAAACGTAATCTGACCTCACTGGAACTCACGGTGGGGAGAAAAGTAACAGAATAAGTATGACACAAAATTTCAAGCTGTCCTTTTTTTGTCCCTGGTCAACAGTCGGATGAGAAGAAGCAGGATGTTGGCAAGTTTGTGGAATTGCCAGGAGCTGAGATGGGCAAGGTGGTGGTTCGATTCCCCCCTGAGGCCAGCGGGTAAGGCTTGATCTGGAGTTCAGGAGAAGTTCAGATTATATATTGTTAGAGTGTGCATTAGGAGTTTAGTAGTTTTCTTAACAGGGACCATCTTTCTGTCTTTCTGTGGCCAGATACCTGCACATCGGCCACGCCAAGGCTGCTCTGCTCAACCAGCACTACCAGGTCACATTCAAAGGCAAGCTCATCATGCGCTTTGACGACACAAACCCCGAGAAAGAAAAGGAGGACTTTGAAAAGGTAAGATACTGTGATGTGAGTTGTGCACCATTATTAAGAAACCAGAAACAGTACTGTCTTTATTCATCAGATGAAAACAAGAGGCCAAAAAGGTTTTGGGTTCTTATTTACACATTTCTTTACTTAGGTAATCCTGGAAGATGTTGCCATGCTCCAAATCCATCCAGACCAGTTCACTTACACCAGTGACCATTTCCCCACCATAATAGGGTTTGCGGAACAGCTGCTTGCCGAGGGCAAGGCCTACATCGACAACACCCCTCCTGAGCAGATGAAGCAGGAGAGGGAACAGCGTGTTGAGTCCAAATGCAGAAATAACAGTACGCCTGGGGAAACATGACATGATTACCAAAGTGAATGTTCAAGCTACAACATGCACATTTCTAAACTTAATGAGGCCACAATATGCAACTTCTCTCTCCTGTGTAGCGGTGGAACAGAACATGAAGATGTGGTCAGACATGAAAGCTGGGACAGAGTTTGGTCAGACCTGCTGCATGAGGGCCAAGATGGACATGAGCTCCAACAACGGTTGCATGAGAGACCCCACCCTCTTCCGCTGCAAGAACGCTCCCCACCCTCGCACTGGAAACACCTACAAGTACTTGACTTTGACTTTAAAGTCCAGGGAGGGGCGAGCTAGACTATCAGTTGTAATGATTTGTGATTTAAAAAATCTAATTGTTGTTGAAACTGTCCCCTTCTTTTCCTCCAGAGTCTACCCAACATATGACTTTGCCTGTCCCATTGTGGACAGTTTGGAGGGTGTGACCCACGCTCTTAGGACCACAGAGTACCACGATCGTGACGAGCAGTTCTACTGGATAATTGAAGCCCTGCGCCTCAGGAAGCCCTACATCTGGGAGTACGCCCGACTCAACCTCAACAACACAGTGCTGTCAAAGAGAAAGCTCACCTGGTTCGTCGACCAGGGATACGTTGACGGATGGTAGGTTTAATGGTGACTGACGTTTAGTAATCCGGGAAGGTGTCTATTACTTCTACTACTTAGTTCTCTGTGCTCTGTCACAACCTCCTTCCCCTTGTCCCCCAATTCCCCCTATCTTCCTCCCCGTCCTCTCTTTACCTTGACATTTTTCCCTTTCCCAACCCCATGTTCTCTTTTGACTTTTCTTATCTTGTCCTCCAGGGATGACCCTCGCTTCCCCACTGTCAGAGGAGTCCTGAGGAGAGGAATGACTGTTGAGGGTCTGAAACAGTTCATAGCAGCCCAGGTACATATATTTTTTTAATACTAAATAAATAATAAACAAAGCAGGCTATGCGAAAGCCTAACAAACCCTAAACAAACGTATTCTGCTGAATGTTTCTGCTGAATGTTTATTTTCGTCGTCTGTACATCTTTTGCGTGGATTACATTAATAAATTAGTCTTATTTGCTTTTCGTTCGTGGAGCTTTTTGTGCACATACAGTGACGTTGAGAGTGTGCAGCTCTCCACCGCTCTCTGTCTCGCCTCTGACCAAGAAGTCAGCTGAATGGAGGAGAGACGGACAGCGGAGAGAGTTGACAACAGCTGCACTGTGCTGAAAGCTTCTTGAGTAAAAACACCTGTGTGACAGCTGACGTAAAACAAGGATCGGCTTAAAAACGGCTTAATTCAGCTCAACATAGCCTCTAATGATGAGTTTTAAAAATGCCTTAATCTGCTCACATATTGATCTTGTATTTGAATGTCAACATTAAGGATTTCATATTTTGCTCGATTCTTGCTTACCTATAGTATTCATGGAGTGCACAATTCTGTATCAATTTAAAATTTATTTTTCTTTTTCCCTCCGCTTTCTAGGGTGGATCAAGGTCAGTGGTGAACATGGAGTGGGACAAGATCTGGGCCTTCAATAAGAAGGTACATTTTTCTCTTCTTAGTCATCTCATGTCTACGCCTGATTGTCTGAACCTAGCTGTATACTTGAATGGTGATAAAAATGTTCCTGACATTCAGTTAATAACTGAACTAATCATTTCAAATCTGCCTAATGGTCCCTTTGTAGACGACTGACTGTGTCAAACTCTAAATTAAAGACATGATATAATCGTACATTTTATTATCACTCAACTTTGAAGCAGTCTTAGAATCAGACTGTTGAATTGTATCTTGTAGGATACAATTGCAGAACACTTTGATATACTGACATTTAATGTGTTATTTTTGAAGGATAGGAGCTAATTTTAAGTTTGTCTGACCTAGTTTCTATGTTAGAGAAAGAGGGGATATAGTGAATGAATATGACACAAACCTCACTGACAGAGGTTCAGAGAATTGCCTGCGGGTTCACTGCTGGCATGGCTTCTTTCTGCTTTGCTGTTCTCATTCTGTTAAACATTTTAATTTGCTACCTGGTTTCGTGCCTCCCTACCCCACCCTCACCCTCCATATCACTCCCAATAACACTGAAACCCTCAAAACCAAACCAGCTGCTTCATTTCATGTCCCACATTTGTTTGTATTCATGTTGTCTCAGCCAATTCCATCTGTCTGGACATCAGTGTTGCTTCCTCTGTGTGGTTTTCCTTGCTGGCACTTGCTGCTTCATCTCAGAGTCAAGTAGAAGGTGTGAAGCTAATAGTTTAAAAATGTACATAAACGGAGAGCGAAGAGGTGGTTAGACACAGCACACATATCTAATGCCTGGAAAAGAACAAATAAGAGTTTCAGACCTTAGTTTAAAATAAAAGCGAGTGTCGGGCTAGTCTTGCATCATTTGTGGAGTTGAATACATGCTGTAAGGATGCATCAGTGACACAATTGGACAGCAGTGTTGACAGTCAATGTTAGGTTGAGTTTTAGGAACAGCTGCTTCTGTTTTTGCAAAGGGCTTCATATGCATGGTCAACTAACTTCTCCTCCCCCGCCTTCTTCAGACAGTCTCATGCCCCCAGAGTTCTTTCACGTTAACTTGCCAATATTTAAAGTTGCTGCAACAGCAGCTCATGTTTAAATGTGGTAGCAGACGTTATTCACAGTTTATTTTAGATTGTCCAACTCAGGTATAACAAACCAAATGAAAAATAGTTTCCACTGTAGTATGTCTCAGTGGTTCCCAAAACCTGTTCACTTTCCTGCGCTGGCTCAAGAACTGCATTCCTTACTCTACCTAATACACTGCTCTTATGTTAATTGGGGAATTTTAAAGATTTCATTATACACTTCTTAGGTGCAAGTAGTCATGTATGTCTTCAACTATTGTTCTCTGTGGCTGTTTAATGGACAGTTTGCTTACTGGTGTCACACATGCCTTACTAGCAAATAGCCACAAATGTATTTGATTACATTTGTGTCTGAAATATGTTGCAAAACACAAGAAAAAGCCATAATAAAGCTTCACTGACTCAGCTCAAGCTGAAACAGGTTTGAAGTCATGTCAGCAGAATACAACAGATTAAAGCAATAAAGTCACTAAATATGAATCTATGACTTTTAATCTGGTATCTCTGCAGGTGCTGCTATTTAAATCAGTTGCAGTAGTAGTCCTTGCAATTTCAAGCTAATGTTAATAACATTTCAAGACTTTCAAGACGTGCTGTACTTAGATTTCTGCGTTATTATCGATCCCACCGCTTTTCATGGTGAGACAGGCTCTCTGCAGCATTCAAGCGCCATGATTACCCAAGCGCCCATGCTTCTCTCATGCGACAAGTTTTCTGCCAGAAAGGCTGTCGAACATGTGGTTAACATTGTGAAATTTTATATTTTCCTAAACCTAACCAAGAGGTTTTGTTGCCCAAACATAACCAAACTGCGACTGAAAGCTGAAGATAATAATAAAAAAAATAAAAAAATCAATAAAAGAAAAGAAACAAACAAAAAACTGTACTCACCAGCAACTGAAACCCAGTTTCCAGTTACAGGCCCTGTGATTAACCCATTCATCCACCACTACTTCCTAGCTAGACTTGGATTTTGTCACAATTTATCCTATGTATGAAGCTTTTCTAAATAAGCATTCTATGTCACCTGACGAGCACTGGCGCCTAACCAGTCCTAGTGCCTGAATGCTATGCAGGGCATGTCTTGGCAAGAAAAGCAGTGGAATTCATAATGGCGTTAAATTTCTCCTCTTCTGTTTTATTTCATGACTATCCCATGTATATACGTGTTGGGCAACAGAAAACATACAGATCATCATCATCAACTATCATTAGATCCCCAGAGGAAAGAATTATTTTTAATTTATTTATCTAATTACTTTATATTTTATTTATCCATTTTGTGTATTTAGGGTTGGGATTTTGTCGCCTGGTGGATGATGTTGCCAATAAGATAAAAAACATTCTCAGAACAGGCGAGAATCGTAGATTGCGTTCAGCATTGTGCTTTCTCAATACAAGAGTAAAAAGCATTGTTTGAGGCATAGCCAGAGGGGAAATAGAAGAGACAAACAAAACAGGAAGTTGTAACAGTTGTATCGAGGAAAAAGCGGCGAGGGGAAATTATGTAAGCGGTCCATTCTATGTAAATGTGTCTCTACCTCTTTCCTCTCTTTCTTCCTCCCTCCTTGTATCGGACATTAAACAGCATCTCACTCTTCTGTTTCCAAGCTGCCAATTAGCTGTCTGAAGGTACTCCTCCACCTCCTCCTCTTGCCCATTTTCACCCACCTCCTCCCCGCTTTCACCATGGGCTGGTTTGTCTGAAAATCTGCCAACAACCTCCGCTATTTTACCAGCCACATATCTATCATCAATCATCTATCCTAGTAGTTTAAAAAGCAAAGGGCAGCAGAGTTGTGTAACAGTAGGTCTGAGAAGCATGTCCTTTAGCAGGACACTTGGAGACTCCACCAGCTCCCTGGTGCTGTTTAAAATTTGACCTCTGATCTAATTGTGGACGACGCAGTAGAGACGTAATCACATGATTTAATGAAGTGGTTTGTCCTCTATGTGAAAGCTCATCTTCTATCTTGGCACAAAAGTAAAATAGTATAGTTAGTAATATGATAAAACAAGGGATCAGTGTTATTCTCTTGCACATCATGTTTTTTTTTTACCCGTTTGTTGCTTTCATCACTTACCATTCTCCATCCTCACTGATTTAAACTGACTGAAGTAAACATGGTGGGCGGTGTAACTGCAATGTATCACTCAGAGTGGACAGGATGCTCCACTCTGCAGCCCTTCTGTGATTTAAACCCAGGGAGTAAGATTGGTAGATTTTTCAAATACAGCTTTAAATCTGTCTCAAACATACCAGTTACATAAACTGTAAAATATATTTAAAAAGTCAGCAGTTCAGACCAGAGAAACTAGACCTTCATATCATGTTAAAACCTCCTCCCTTCATGTCTTCCTAGCATCTATTCCATCCGTCCTTTTGTCCGTTGCAGCTTTTTGACTCAGCAGTTGAGATTTTTTCCTCTTCAATTATTGACAATATCCACTTCATTTAACACTATTTTTTATTCATGTGAGATTTCAAAAGTGCTTCACACTTGATTTCCTAAAGCACCAACATCACACCCTCTGTTACTGAAGAGGTCAAAGGTCATTGCCAAATTGCTCTGCACAGATAATTGGCATTTTGTCCTAATTACTGATTAAGACCTTTTAACATGTTTTTTTTTCTGTAATAATCAGTCATTACCACAGATATACGTTTGATGCCACCTTTAGGACATAAGTTAATAAAACTGTTTTGTTTGAAGATAATGTTAGTTTGAAGTGTGTCTGGTTTTGGAGTTAATCTGTGGAAACTGAGCTTATCAACTGGTTCTTTTCCATTGTTGTTAGAACTGTGGACTATTATTGTTCCCACTTTCGCCTACTGAAAATGTCTACTTCCGTTGCGCTGTGAAGTAGTTTGTGTAAAACTATCCACCAACGCTTCTTTGGGATCTTCTCTTATAACCTAAACAACATTGACCCTGCTGGGATGATGTTGTTTCTGCTAATACTCTGCTGCTAATCCTCAGTTATCTTTGGGCTCCTGTAAACACTCCAGCTGGCTGGTAAAATAGTGAAAGTGGATGGTGGCTGAATAAGCAGCTGAAGAAAAGCTTGTTTGCCATACCTTCATACAATCATGATTCACTCATGAAATCAACTTTTCTTTCTCCACTCGTCGTTCTTATTGTTTCTTACTTTCTTCCTGTGTCACTCATTGAGCAGTTTTTTTTTTCTGGTGGAAACGGTTTTTGAATAAAGTTGCATCATTTTCTGTTTTGTCCTTTCATTACTCAGCATTTTGAATGTGGAAATTGTTATAAAGCACTAGTCTGCCCTTTCTTTTACTGACCTGTTTGTGTGTGTGTGTGTGTCTTTGTGTGTGTGTGTTAGGTTATTGACCCGGTAGCTCCCAGGTACACAGCTCTGTCCAGCTCCTATGTGGTTCCCGTTTCCATCCAAGAGGCTACAGAGGAGATGAAGGAAGTGGCCAAACACCCTAAGGTTAGAGCTCTCTCTCTCTCAATCAGTTTCTATCCAACTGGCTTTATTCCGTATGTTTGTTTAAATCCTACAACACTCAACTTCTGTGTCCATCCAGAACACAGAAGTGGGCATGAAACAAGTGTGGTACGGACCTCGAGTTCTGGTCGAAGGAGCCGATGCTGAGACGTTCTCAGAGGGAGAGATGGTCACCTTCATCAACTGGGGCAACCTCATCATCACCAAAATCAACAAGTGTGTAGGCTCATTGTTAAGAAGATCCATATTGTTGCTGAGAAACGTGGCGCTGCATTAACGTTAAGCTGTGTTTTTCCACTCACTCTTTCTCACTCCTCAGAGGGGCCGATGGTAAGGTAGTATCCATGGAGGCTCGTCTGAACCTGGACAACAAGGATTTCAAGAAGACAACAAAGATCACATGGCTGGCTGAGACAAACAGTGCCCCCCTGCTGCCCACCATCTGCATAAACTACCAGCCTCTGATCTCCAAAGCAGTCATCGCCAAAGACGACGACTTCAAAGAGTTCATTAATAAAAACAGCAAGGTCTGTTCTTTAGTGTGTTTTTAACCTCCCAGACATTTGCTGGTCACCTTTATATCTTTTGTTGACTTTGTCTCACTCTCACTCTCTCAGTTGGAGGAGAAGATGCTTGGAGATCCCTGCCTGAAGAACCTGAAGAAAGGTGACATCATCCAGCTCCAGAGACGGGGCTTCTACATCTGTGACCAGCCCTATGAGCCAGTCAGGTGAGGGGAAAGGACCTTTTATACGTTTGAACCACCCCAGTTGATGGAGATCCTTCCAGTACTATCACACTTTCCTGCTGTCTAACCATGTTGATCATCCTACTGTCTGTGTCTAATATCGACAGTCCTAACAGCTGTAAGGAGAGTCCCTGTGTCCTGCTCTACATTCCCGATGGTCATGTCAAGGAGATGCCAACTGCTGGATCCAAGGACAAGAGCAAGAGCCAGGCCTCTAGCAACACAGTGAGTGTTTCTGATTTTAATTATATTAATACCAATTATCTACATTTTATCTGTCAGACTTGTTATGATTATATAAGTCCTCTTAAATGAGCCAACGGCTGCACTCAGTTGAATCTTGTTAAACTGTAAGTCAGTGTTCTGCCCCTCACCTAAGTCAGCTTGTTGATTATTTAGACACTAATCTGATTTTATGATGGGCATCCACTAGCTGTAAAATAGGAGGGGATTTTCAGGCATATAATAAAGACGGGGTACCCTCCTAGGGCTGGGTACAGAAAGTGGGTAAACAAAACATTGAAAACTGAAACAATGCCTGGTACCTCAACTCAGTTTCTTGCTCTTGCTCTTCCTCTCTATCTTTAAATCTGTCTTACCTCTTGTCTTAGCCTGCCGCCCCCGCCAAGGCTGCCCCTGCCAAGGCTGCCCCAACCTCTGCCCCAGCTTCCGCCCCAGCGCCTGCCTCCACCTCAGCCGGTGACTTGTTCTCGAGCATTGTAGCACAAGGTGAAACTGTCCGCCAGCTTAAGACTGCCAAGGCTCCTAAAGACCAAGTGGACAAGGCGGTTCAGCAGCTGCTTTCTCTAAAGGTAGGTCAGCTGTCATTCAAAGCAACAAAATAAAGACTCTTAATTATTCCAATGTTTTGCAATCTCATTCTTCCCTCTCTCTTCAGGCCCAGTTCAAGCAGCAGACAGGTATGGATTACAAACCAGGCATGGCTCCTCCCACCTCTGCTCCAGCTCCGCCCACCTCTGCTCCAGCTCCGCCCACCACACAGACAGACTCCACCTCCTGTCCACACGCCCGCGTTACTCATCAGGGCGAGCTGGTCAGGAAACTGAAGGCAGAGCAGGCACCTAAGGTACCCGGACATTTGTCCAATTACTAATCATCTCCACATCTGTTTGTCCAGTCAGCACTCACATCCCAAGTCATCCGTCGTGTCCTCATTCGTTGTCCAGTGAATTCTCGCGTCCAGAGTAGTTCGTCTAGTTGCTTGCTCGTATCCCAAATGATTTCTCCAGTCATTGCTCCATGTCCCCACGTCATTTGCATGCCAGTCAAGTTTATCCTTAACTTCCTGCAACAATAAGCTGGTTTGTTGATGGTACCAGGACCAGATTGATGTAGCAGTGAAGCAGCTCCTCGCTCTCAAGGCGGAGTTTAAAAAGATGACCGGTCAGGATTACAAACCAGGGATGGCCCCCCCTTCCACTCCCACCTCCTCTGCTCCTTCTCCTGCGACCACCTCTTCCTCTTCTTCTTCCTCTTCCTCCTCCTCCTCTCCCTCAGGCGTGTATGAACGTGTTGCACAACAGGGGGAGGTTGTGAGGAAACTGAAGTCTGAAAAAGCCCCCAAGGTATTCCGATGTAACAGTAGAGATGTAGTGAAAACATGTCAAATAAAAACGGGTGCTTATAAGCTCAAAGTATAATTGTTAACATATGAGAAAGAATCTCAAACATGGTTAGATCATGTCCTAAGAATTTTCAATAAGCACACCCACTTCAGGTTCAAGCACCACCCATGTACAATTTAAGCCACGCCCATTCCAAGTACAGATACAAATACAGATAATTTAGTTGGTTGAACAGATACAGGTAATAGTGTACTCGCTCATCCTTGCCTGGCTATTGAAAGTGAAAATCAGTTAAATTCTTAAATGAGTGATTTTTTGGTATCAAGATTTTTATAATTCCATTTCATTGCAATATTAATATTTTTGACATATATTATATTGATATGTTAATTATACACATGTTCTGTTAGAGCACCTTGACAGGATTAGAAAAACTGCTGCGAATTGAGTCACAGTATTCTTGTCCATGTCTCCCCAGGACCAGGTTGACGCAGCAGTGAAACAGCTGCTCGCCCTGAAGGCAGAGTACAAACAGATCACAGGCCAGGAGTACAAGCCTGGAGCGGCCCCAGTTCGGAAAGCCCCCGCCCCAGTCCAGAGCAGCGCCAGCCCTGCCCTTGCTGCTGCTACCCCTGCAGCTGCCACCGGCCTCTATGAGAGGGTTGCTGAGCAGGGAGAATTGGTCAGGAAACTGAAGACTGAAAAGGCCTCTAAGGTGAGACAACATATGCATCTGCTACCAGTGTTTCCCTGCTTCCACAGTCTTTTTTATAGTTAAATAGTTCTGCAGCTGTTCCTGCTGCTATGACTAACTGGTTCTCTTCATGCTGGCTGTTCATCAGGATCAAGTAGATGCTGCAGTGAAGCAGCTGTTGGCACTAAAGGCAGAGTATAAACAGCAGACCGGACAGGATTACAAACCAGGATTACAAACCACAAGTAGCCCTGCTCAGACCCAGTCCAGCTCTTCTGCGAAGCAGTCCAGCTCTTCTCTGCAGGCCCAGGAACTGTTCTCACAGGTGGCCCAACAGGGAGAGCTGGTGAGAAAGTTAAAGTCTGAGAAGGCCCCCAAGGTAAGGAACCAATCACAGAGTTGCATTAAATATAACTAGTACTGGGGAGGGACAAAAACAACCACTGTCCTTCCATTTCAGGACCAGGTGGATCAAGCCATAAAGACTCTCCTGGACCTGAAGACCCAGTACAAGACACTCACTGGGGAAGAGTACAAACCAGTGGCCGCTGCTGGGGCCACTGGAGGAGAGGATAAAAACCGCAAGGAGAGGGAGAACAAGTCTGAGAAACAAGGAGGAGGAGGAGGGAAGAAGGGTAAAGGAGACAAAGCCAGCCAGGGCAAAGAGGCCTCAGGAGGAGCAGGAGGCTCAGGAGAGGGTCAAGGACCTAAGAAACAAACACGGTGAGAGACTGGAACCTGATGAAAGGAGAGAGGTGAAGAAGTACATCCTGATGATGATGATGATGATGAAACATTTTAAACGTTACCAGCCAGCACAATGTTCAGTATAAAATAGAACTCCATAATGGCAAGTTTTTACCAGATTTCAGCTAAAATGATAATCCTCATTAGAATAAATACTGTGAACATTGTTCTAGGGATATTGAGGAACAAAATTTTATTTTACTTTTTGCATCTGAAGTCAACTTTGCTACTTTGAACTCTTTCTTTCTGTCTCTCTCTGTAAGTGCAGATTGAACCTCTCCTATCATACATCATACTGTTATTTTGATATTTCTAACTATAATGATTGGTGGACATATTTCTCCCTCATCCTGCATGTGGAGCAAGGCTCAGCAGACTGAAGAACATTGTATGGATATAGTCAGATGCATGGCGAGATCATATGGCGGTTAGGGTTGTACGTAAAATGATTTGGCTGAAATGGACTGGAAGCGGAGTGTGTGAGCCAATAAAAAGCCTTTTACTGAACCATCCCCTCCGAATTCTGTTTTGAGTGAATTATAGCTATTTAAATGATATGTTTCTTTGGCTAGATGCATTATTTTGTGTGTAGGTTTTAAATTGTTACCACATAACACACAGTGACTGGCAGTTGATGGGTAGTTTTATTCAGACCTGACTTTGCCATGAGTTGTATATTTTAGCCTTTAAGCCTTTATACTGGAACATTGTGGGGACAGAAGCACATACTTGGATTTGTTTCTTGGACACTGAAGATGGACCATCTGTAAGCACAACTCTCTGGCTCTGTAGCTTAACGACTGAAGAGTTGTTTTTTTCTTTTTGTGCTCAGATTTGGTGAGTCTTAAATGATTGGTGTGTTTTTCATCTGCTTGTGATCTGCTGTCAGCCCCAAGGATGATATTTGATTGTTCTATGATTGTGCTGCACTACTAATATATATAAATATTTATATTCAGCATGTGTTTCTCTCTACACATTTGGCACATCAACACCCGTGGACTTTTTCATTCTGAAGACTTGCTGAAGTTGAAAATGTCAAAAGTCTTCATATAAGATGCAAAAAGTACAATGAAAACATATGTTCCTCAGATAAAAATGAATAATCTGGATAATGTTGACATAATAATGGGGATTATGCTATTGCCCTTATAGTGCAGCTCTCTCTCTGTTGTGTCAGTTAGCAGTAAGAAGCTGGTTTGATGGCTTTATAGCTGCTGATGTGAGCTTTGATTTGCATGGTTGGCTGGACTGGGAATGGCTCTGTTTTGTTAAGATTGTTTTAATGCACTCAGGAATTATCCTGTACCTGCACCTAGACAAACTAATCAGGCATGACCTGACTTGTCAGTGTGTGTGTTGTGATCATTTCCCAGATCGCTCTGCCACTGTATTCGGGCAGTTCTTAATCACCCCTGCCTTTCATTGTAGAAGTAGTAGTATTCTAATAGTTCTTTGAGTGAGAGCATAATAAACATGTTATGTAGACAATACTGAAATATAGTAAAACAAACTGCTTGGTTCCGAAATAACATCACCAATTCTTAAAAAATCATGATGTCTTCAAACAAAATATTTGATAAAAATGTGTGAATAACAAAATAAAAATACTGCCCCATACTAACTTATTAATTTGTCTCCTGACAGGTTGGGTTTGGAGGCCAAGAAAGAGGAGAACCTGGCTGACTGGTACTCTCAGGTGAGTTAAATAGACACAGGTCTCCTTTATTCTAATTAAGCCTTTTTCTACTTTTAGAAAAGCAACGATAAAGAAAAACAAACACTGGACAACAGAAGTCCAGTCTTTCCTGGAATTTGTTAGAAAATTCCCCTTTATATGTAACGTTGCTCCTCCCCTCCAGGTCATCACTAAAGCGGAGATGATTGAGTACTATGATGTGAGCGGCTGCTATGTTCTGCGGCCCTGGTCCTACTCCATCTGGGAGGCCATTAAAGACTTCTTTGACCGGGAGATTAAGAAACTGGGTGTGGAGAACTGCTACTTCCCCATGTTCGTCTCTCAGGCCGCACTGGAGAAGGAAAAGTCCCACATTGAAGACTTTGCTCCAGAGGTAAAAAAAATATTTTTTTTTATGATGTCCTCCGTGGATAAAATGACATAATGGAGGGAAAAAGCATGTGTTCCACCATTTAAGAAAAATAAATAAATAAATAAAATGACCACCGTATTTGACTGGAACAAGAAGATAATGAATGAATGAACAATATGTCGTTAATAATTATTTAATGGTGCTGTTGTCCCCTTTGTCAGGTTGCCTGGGTAACCCGGTCAGGAAAGACTGAGCTGGCAGAGCCCATTGCTGTCAGACCCACCAGTGAGACAGGTCTGAACCACAGCTCTTTTTCTGACTTAAAGACCAAACTGATTATATAAATGCAGGCACACACACACAGCGTATACAACATCTATAGCTTTTTAGACATTTATCATGGTTTTGTTTTTGCTGTTCTGTTATGTTTGGTATGAAACTTTGGTCTGTTTTGTTCTGATTCAGTGATGTACCCTGCCTACGCTAAATGGGTCCAGTCCCACAGAGACCTGCCAATCAAACTCAACCAGTGGTGTAATGTTGTGGTCAGTATCCTCCTACAGCCATGCCTACACCATCTTTATCTACTGTTTTTTTTCTATGTAGCTTCTCCCACAGTCCCTTCATTTTGTCAGCATGGTTTTAGAATGATAAAAGTTGACTGTTCTGCCCTTAGTAAACGTGTGTGTATGTTCACTTCGTCTGTGTACAGGGATATCTAATAAAGCAATATATTTATTTTTTACTTGTACAACAGCTAGAAGATGGGTACATTACGAAATTGTGTGTATGAAATGACATTCATACACACAACACAGATAGGGTTTCCAAATTGTATTGAATGTGATATGCAAGCAAGGTACTCTAATGGCACTAAGTCTAACAGCACTCTCTGCCAGCCTTGAACTTTTGCTACTTTTCAGAATACAGTAGAGTCTCTTACTGTTTTTGTTATTATTGGTTATTGTTGTAACTCTGTTTGGGAGGCCAAAGATGAGGTGTCCATCTCCAGTTCCAAACCCATCATTTTTCTGTCTCAGATAGCACATTGGACCATCACTGTGTTGCTTGGAGCATGACCAGAGACAATGAGTTAGAGCAATTACTCATACCACTGTCTCTTTACCTTGTAATGTTGCTCCAAATGTATTTTTGTAGTTTATATTTTGGATTATTTTCCTATAGTAGTTATACTTACCTCTGTTATTTCTTTCTTGTACCTTCTATACCTATGTATGTCGTTGTGTTGCTGCAACAACCGGATTTCCCCGCTGGGGCTTGTAATTACAAGCTTGTTGAAGAAAATTGGTACATATAAAAAGACTTAAGGGTGCCAGTCTTCTCTCTTCTTACCTCTTTCTTTCTGGCACCCATTCTTCAGAGATGGGAGTTCAAACACCCCCAGCCCTTCCTGAGGACAAGAGAGTTCCTGTGGCAGGAAGGACACACAGCATTTGCCACCAAAGAGGAGGCAGCTGAGGAGGTAACAGCCCTGGCAACGCTACCACAAGCCCCCTTCTATTGTATTGGCTGAGATGCATAATAGTGCAGTACTTATACAGTACCAAGAAAAGTGATATCGTCCAAACTATGCTGTATTGCAAAAAAGCAGTAAGTCTCTGTTTGCTTTACACTTTGTATATTTGCAGGTGCTTCAGATCCTGGATCTGTACGCCAGGGTGTATGAAGAGCTAATGGCGATCCCTGTGGTGAAGGGGAGGAAGACAGAGAAGGAGAAGTTTGCAGGAGGAGATTACACCACTACTGTGGAGGCATTCATCTCTGCCAGCGGCCGAGCCATTCAGGTACTGTAGTAAACTGGAATACTTCACTTGATCCTCTCGTCCATTCACAATGAGGTCAGCAGAATATTACATGTAATAGATAAAACTTTGATGCTCACTGATGATGAGCTGCAGAGAAACAAACAAAACAATATTTTTTTTTACTTTTACTTGATTTGATTCAATGTTTTACAACATAGTAAACATTGCATTGTCTGAAAAAAACAACAACCCATGAAGTCAGCACGCCTTTGGCATTGCTTTGTGCTTCCTCAGGGTGCTACATCCCACCATCTTGGTCAGAACTTCTCCAAGATGTTTGAGATCACGTTTGAGGATCCGAAGAGGCCGGGTGAGAAACAGCTGGCCTTCCAGAACTCCTGGGGTATCACAACCAGGACCATCGGTGTCCTCACCATGGTCCACGGAGACAACATGGGACTCGTGCTGCCACCCAGGGTGGCCTGCCTGCAGGTAGACACACACACTCCTTCTCTCACAGAGACACTGTATTTGATGGACAATGTTCATCTTTTTTAAAACTTATAAATGTGAAATAACATACCCATTAAGCACAAGAAGCATGCTTTTTTTCTATTCTTATATTTTGGATGTATTAAAAGTAAAGAACAAACAGCCAGCCGAGGATAGACACTGCAGAAAAATAGCAATCATTAAATAGTAAAAATGTCTCTTTGCTTTTCCAGATTGTCATCATCCCATGTGGCATCACTGCCTCCCTACCAGAGCAGGAGAAGGAGGCACTGTTGACCCAGTGCTCTAAATACCAAAGCATGCTGCTGAATGCTGGCGTCCGGGTGAAGACTGACCTCCGAGACAACTACTCCCCAGGGTGGAAGTTCAACCACTGGGAACTCAAGGTTAGCAGTAATAGTATGATAATAGTACTAGTGGTGGCACTTAATAAAGTCTAATAGGCAACAATTTAAAAAAAGGATAAAAGTCACAGCAGCCAAAACTGTTGTGAAAGCATTGATACTGACAGTAGCTTTTTCTCTCTTTCTTTGTTGTCTCCATCTGTGTATTTCTGTGTCTCTTGTCCAGGGAGTTCCTATCCGTCTTGAAGTGGGTCCTAAAGATATGCAGCAGCGTCAGTGTGTCGCAGTGAGGAGAGACTCAGGCGCAAAGGTGACAGTTCCAGAAGCTGAGGTGGAGAAGAGGCTGGTCGCCATGTTGGAGGACATTCAGACCAGCTTGTTTAAGAAGTAAGATGCAACACTACACACTAAGGTCCGACATGCGCTATACTTAGCTTATTATAACTTGACATATCAGCAATCAAGTACAACTTACTACTAAAAAGGCATGTGTTGTTGTTGTTGTAGTAAGTGGAAAAAGTGCAATTGCAACCGGTTTCAATTGTCTAAATCCCACTGAAAGAATTTTACTGTGGGCTTTTGTGTCATGGGATAGAAAAATGTATGTACAGATATGAAAACAGGAGTCATGTCTGCCTGTCGGACCCTTACTCACACATACAGATTACATAAATCCTCACATGGAACTTGCAGCTGGAAGTTGTTTTTAATGTAATGAAATATACTTATATTTGATATATGTATGACCGTATATAGTATACAGAGGGTTGTTAATGTCAAAAGATTGTTCAGTGCTTCGGCTGTCATTGTTTAAGGATAGCTGCACTACTGATCATCTCTAGCAAAAAGGCAACCTGACACATAGTGGTGAACTTCAGCACAATGATCAACCAATTCTGCAGCTCCCAACAGCTTTTCAGAGCTTTATAGTGAGATTTAGCTCATTGTTTAGCTGTCTGGCACAACTTCACTGTTTCAGTTCACTGTCACTGTTTCATAGCCACATTTCAACGAAAAAGCTCTCAAACCCAGTGTGCACAACCGGCATAGCATTTAGCATTTATTTTCTTCATGAGTTGGTTGAGAGCTAAAAGCAAGTGATTATTGGATTCATCATCAGATAGCCAGAAATTAAATTATTAATAATGTTGCTGCATATAACTGCTGGATGTGTGAAGCAACTGCTAACAAGTTCACCATATCAACTTAAAAGGTGACCATTTGTCAAAGCTGTGTTCACCAATTTCCACTGCCCCCTCTGTTATTGCAGATTAAAAATCAACCCGTTTGCCATCCAGCTGGGGGCAACATTGTGTTAAAAATAAGAATAGATGCTTACATGGTGTCCATAAACATACAAGAAAATTGATTAAAATGTATTACGTGTGTGTGTGTTTGTCAGAGCTTCAGATGACCTGAAGAGTAACATGGTGGCTGCAGACACAATGGAACAGTTCCAGAAAGACTTGGACCAGGGCAAGGTGAGTAACACAACCCACACTCAGCACAAACCATTTTACTGTCTGTCCTTACCTGAGCAAATGATTGATAACAATTTTTTCTTGCTCGATAGATTGTCCAGATCCCGTTCTGTGGAGGAATTGAGTGCGAGGATTGGATCAAGAAAACCACTGCCAAGTACGTCCGACATGTAACTGTCTGGCATGAGAGTTTGTGCTTTGCCCAACTTTTTGAGGGAGCAAAATACAACATAGTCCCTCACATTATTGTCTATACAGATAGGAAAAATATTTGTGTCCATCAGAAATAAATATGCAGAGTCACATTATGCAGGTGCTGGGGGGGGGATCACATTTTGCTGTTTCAATTGAGTCATTTCAGATGCATATATTCAAGATTTTTTCAGTCAGTGTTATTTGTACGGTACTATCATAATTTGTCCCATTCAGATCAGGCATCATATTGGGAAAATATAAAATGTGATATCTTAGTTATTCCTGCCCAATTTCACCTCATTTTGCTTTGAGTGCTTCAATTTCAACCAGTAAAGACATTTTTGTGTTGTCTTCTTCTCCTGTAGGGACCAGGACCTGGAGCCTGGAGCTCCGTCCATGGGAGCCAAGAGCCTCTGTATCCCCTTCTCCCCCCTGAAGACACCGCAGCCTGGTCAGATGTGTGTCAGCGGCAAGGAGCCTGCCCAGTACTACACCCTGTTTGGACGCAGCTACTAAAGACCTGCTCTGCTGAAGCACGAGGATGAACATCGTAGTCAAAAAGGGCTTCCCTACCCTTTCTCATCTAGTTCTTTACTGATCTCTTGTAGTTGTCTTGGGTAAAAGGGGTATGGAGGTGACTGGACTGTGGGATTTAGCCTGGGAATATGCTGTTTTTGTTTTTGTTTTTTTTTTAACATACATTAACCTTATTATAATGCATCTGTTTACTCTTCCGTTACTCTCTCATTATTCCGTTAGCCCCGTTTCTCTCCTACCAGGCTGCTAACTCTCTATAGGCCACATCAAAAGAACACTCACTGTCCAGCATTGCTTTGTATTAGGGTGGGAAGTACCACCAGAAACCAGGCAAATATTAAATGTCTTTTCAAAACATGGTAGGTAAAATGGTCAAAGCAGCTGGTCGATTGTGGAAACCAATCCTGAATCAATTTTTTTCCCTTAAGTTTCTCTCAACATTCTGATTTAAATGGGTTTGGGCCTTTTGAAAACTTGAAAAACAAGTACTGATAAAAAAATGTCTGTGGGGGAGGGGAAGTACTCTTTGCCTGCCAGCAGTCCCATCTCTTGCAGCCAAACTGTCTCAGGAACTCTGCAGCTACTCAGGCTTGTAGTTGGGGTGTTATTGTCAGCCCTCCTCTCTCTGTACGACTGGGTACAGTAGGAGGCTCATGGTTCACAGCTTAATACAAATTCCTCATATCTGCCAGAGCCAAAATGACTAAAGCTTTGATGAGCTGTGTGTGGTTAATAGCCTGTAATATAGCCTTCTGCCACTTCACGCCCATTAATGAATTCTACAAGTTGTCTATAATAAAGTAATTTCCATGGCCAACTGTCTTGTGTGGTTTTTCATCCTAGATAAAGATGGGTGTAGGTGCAGAATGAGTTGGTCATTGATTATTAGTGTTAGTATTATTAGCATTAGTATTAGTATTAGTGGTGGTGTTGTACTGGAAATCATTAGATTGTGCAGCTGTACCGAACTGGTCAACATTGTACATATATGTGGTGGAATTAGCATATGCATATTGTACAGCAAGCTTCCTCAGTTACATAATGCTAAGCCTTGTCTACCCAATAGATAAAAAAGTGGCACATCCTTTCTTTTCAAAATAAAATTGTTGGCATGTGTGACTGTCAGTTGAGCTCCACAGTGAAGTGCAAAAGACAAAATGCTTGCCAAAGCACTGACACAGGATGAGGATGGAGGCATTGTCTTGGCACATGTGTAGCCTCTTAGACAATATTCACAGTTGTCAAGATCATTTTGAAAATGTCTTTTTTATGTGTTTTCGTAAGCAAGCACCTCTGAAAACAGTTTTTTGAAATTAAGAGGAAGCAGGGGAAATGTTGCATGACCAGGGTTGTTGGTCCCTGCATGCCCAAGAGGATCTTGGTTTACGCTTATATATATAAACATCAGTACTAAAGTACAAAATTATGAATATTGCAGAAAAGAAAATCATATGACACCAGTATAAACATTCCCTGCATATGAAGAAATAAGCATGCATGTTAGCTGAATTAAACTGAATTATAGCCTACCAATTATACTAAATTATAACTGAATTATATAAATTGATATATATTGAAATATACTAATTATACTGAACTATACTAAATAATTCTATACTAAATTATTGTAGTCTCCCTATAAGCAATATAACAGTAAACAGGAAAATACCAAAACAGTAACCATAGTAAGCAAGCAAGTAAGCAAACTTGTCCAAATAAGAGTACTTATTGAAAGCAGTTACTTGCAAAAGGATGTTATTATTTACAGGTATAAGCGGTTTTGTTTAACGTTTGTTATGGTCCATAATATAAACCCACACAAAAACAGAAAACGATCATGAAGGCCCAGCAGTTGCTGAATGTTGAGCACCTCTCTTTTATTTTGAAAGCTGGTACCGGAAGTGGTTGGGTAAAGATTCCCTCAGCGGAGTCCCACTGCTGTCAGTCCACCCGGTCGAGCTGCGGTCCAGCGTTTTGCAGTTTGTTAGCAAACATGAGCGACAAAGGTCTGTCGGACGAGGCAGCAATAGCAGCTTGTAAAGATGGAGACCCGGTTACTAGGGTAAGATAACTGTTGTTCTTGTTGAAGTTGAACTAACCCGCTACCAGACTTTGTCAAACCAACCCAACAGGCCGACGACTCCCAGACAGGGTAACCAGCTATGCGTCCATTGCCTCGACACGTTTCTACACTAAATGTGCACTGGTCACCCGGCGACTGCGATTCGGCTGTGTCAAACATGGTTAACAATGCTAGTGGCTGCTCGACAGACACATCTCACGTAATAAATGTGTGCTGGTGTTATTTCAGGATATTGCGAGCTAGCTACAGCTGAACTTTCTCGTGTGGAAACAAACTCATTTCCAAACTTGGCGGAGGAGTTTAGACTACATTTATCAAAGCAAGAGTAACACCAGTCTGTTCGCAACGCAACTAATGTCCGTATTAACGAGAAAGCTGGTGTTTAGGCGCGGTCAGACCTGAATTTACTCTGCTGCGGCGTAAAGCAGGCGGGACTGGAGAGGGCTAATGTGGGCAGGGGTCCAAACAAATGCTGCTGGAGCTAACTTCAGCTGGCTAATGAAACCTTTACCCTTTTAAACACACATTTACTGCACTCACTCTGTGACACTGTGCTGGCATTCATCGTCCCGCCTGCTGTGCCTGTATTATTTCGTTTTACATAGACAGTATATATACTGTAATAAGACAGGAATATAAACAATTGATAGGCTACTTGATGAAGGACAGGTCATTATATACCATCTCTTATCTATAGACACCAGAGAGTCCATCTACTCTGCAGGCCTTTGTTCAAAAAGGTAGAACTTTGTACTTTTTGCTCCGGCTTTTAAGAAATTGTGAGCTCTGGCAGTTCCAACAGACTCACATATCAAAGTTCACATGTTATAATTTGACCTGAGTAATAAAACATACTTCATATTACTGGATAAACACATAGATAATATGGCTAAATGCACTGCTTCTGTGTCATCCCATCAACCCTCTTGGACTTTTGAAGCTCTGCCAGAAGTAATACATTGGGCAAAACTGTGACTGGAACATAAGGAATACTGGAGAGATGGGTTATGCTGCAGCATTGTGTGTTTGGGGAGTTTCTATGGATGCGTGATACATACACTGTGAAAACTTGACGTGGTTGGAGGAAGGGCACAGGAAAGGGGGACACTCACTAGCCAGAGAGATAACACCGGACTGTTAAAACACACATAGACGAGATGTCACTTATAACTACAGAGTATCTGGATCAGGGTGAACAAAACAAGGCCTGTTTAACCACATTTGCAACATGCAAGCTGAACATTTATGTAAAATTGCTTCTTTTTGCATTAGTGTTGACATATTTCACAAATCAAAACGCACACCATACTTTTGAACCACACATGGACATGTGGGATCTGTGCAGGACTCACAAATGTATCTGTAATTTAAAGCAACAATCCCTGGTGAAATGTGATGCTGTTTCCATTTGCGTAAGTGGTGCTTGTGTGAATTGGGCCTTTTGTAGTAGTAAATTTGTCATCATCAGACTTCAGCACTGACATGGCATGTAAACTTTTTGCAGAGGAAGTAATTGCAACTTCTCCAAGCAGGCCTGATCTGCTCAGTATGGTAATATTGACTGATGCATATCTCACACAGATGTGGTCAGAGCTTGAAAGTAAGGATGTCCTGTTGTCCCAGTTGACACAAAGATACAGTGTCTGGGACAGTAGAGAAATACATCATTACAAATTAAGTTGTTGTTATGTTTGTGTCATGGAATATGTATCATTTTAATCGTTAGGTGTTCAAATTAAAAAAATGTGAGGTGGCACCGGCACGAGCTGTACGTCACACGCATGCTTACACAAAATCTGTGGTTGCCAACATGGCAAAGCATTTAACATTAGATTAGCAACTTCTCAGAACTTCTCAGCTATGTTATTTCTCAAAAGTGAAAAGTGACAATTCTTTCTCTCCAGATCTCTGGATTATTCCATAGCTTTCCTTTTTTATTTTTACACTGTAGTGCGTTTGTTATTATTTGGTGTATGTAAATTTCTCTATACCAGTCAGAAACTAGTTTGCAGTGATGCATTTAACAGAAACTCAACCAATGACTAAAACAACAATGACACAAACTGATTGTGGCCAAACACTTTTTGTTCAGATGTAAGTTCAAGGAACAACTAGCAGAACATCCATGGTGGACCAGAGTGAGTCAATGAAGTTATGAAGCTATATTTAGTGTGTAGAACAAAAAAAAGAACTTTGGGACTATGGTTGAAAGTCTCGGACAGCTGCGTGAAACTGAGGAGAAAAGCTCATTTTGAGCCCTTGATGTTGAGGTGGTCATTGAGTTATGTGCTTGGTTGCACAGAGGTGCAGTTTGGCTGAAATCCCTTTTCACAAGTGATTGCCAGGATACACATTTTCCTCTGCTGGAATTCAGAATTCAGCCAAAGGAGCCAAAGACAGACCTTCTACCCTGCTTTCTAAAACAAGAATAATGCACTGCTTCATATTTATCCATTTTACTTTAATTCTTAAATCCTAAATAGTGTTCATCTTGATACTTAGGCTGATGGATGGCAGTCATTTGTGTTTGAGTAATGTACTAGGTCTGTGACTAACAAACTGCAGCTCATGTAACCAGCAGTGTTTCAAGCTCACCTGGTAGCACTGGCGCCCCATGTACCAAGTCTGAGTCCTTGCTGCAGAGGCCATGGGTTTTAGTCTGACCTGTGGCCCTTTGCTGCATGTTGTTCCTTCTCTCTTTCCCCCTTCATAGCTCTCTTCTTGTTGTCCTATCGAATAAAAGAAAAAAGCCCTAAAAATATATATTTAAAAAAACAAAAACCCTTTTGATGTATTCAAGTACAACATCCTGGAAAATTTTAATTTCTTGTCCTACATTTTAAATAAATGATAACTCACCATCCAGTGATCTTTGTGGTTTCTTAATGGTGTTGCTGACCACTTGAGTGTTACTTGCATATAAAACTCTGTTATTGTGTTTCTGTGTCTTAGGATTTTGTGATGCAGCAGACTATGCTGCGGGTTAAAGATCCAGTTAAATCCTTGGATTTCTACACCAGAATCCTCGGCATGACGTGAGTATTAGTGTGTGTGTGTGTGTGTGTGTGTGTGTGTGTGTGTGTGTTGAGATCGTTTTCTGTACATAAACTGGATTTGGTGACTGAAGTGGAGTTTTCTCTCTGGTGTGCAAAATCTTCCAGGCTCCTGCAAAAGTTTGACTTCCCCTCCATGCGTTTCTCTCTCTTCTTCTTGGGCTACGAGGACAAGAAGGAGATTCCTACAGATGTAAAGGAAAGGACGGCCTGGACCTTTTCCAGAAAAGCCACTATTGAGCTGACACAGTAAGGGCCTATGTCCTGAAATTCGTTTGGTCACTTGAGAAACAAAAATACTTATGTCAGTTCTAACCGACATAACAAAAGAACCTCAGCGTCGTTGCTGAGGAAACTCCAAACAGCGATTACCCCGTCACCACTAGGGCGAGCCAAGACAGTGCTGCAGGCACAAAAAAACTAACGTTGGCACATAATCACCATCTTGATGTTATGTTCGTCTTATTTGCTAATTAAACACTAAGTCAACGTTACATAGCAGCCAAAAAAAGTACTGCCTTTTCTGCTCAGCTTCCAGAGCGTAGCACAGGGGAAATGTTTGCTAGAGCTAACCCACTTCACTTTTCCAGCAGTTGGGGAAACAGCAAACAAGACTTTCATTGGTTGTGAGAAACCGCAGTGTTTATAAACTGACACACTGTAGTCTGTACTGTACATTTA